TTGGTGTCCATTAGATAAATTTCAACCAATAGTGGAACGTCTCACTCATATATTATAAACTTATTCTCAATTTGAGGTTGTGATTGGTGGAGATTAATGGTAAATAACAACACTACGAGTTAGTATATGGTAGTGTCCGTGAGGTCATTGGCACTATACTTAATCACAGAGAGAACCTTGAACGTGGGGCGGTAGACCAGAGTACGGGAGTTTTGTTTGTTTACTTATAGGTCGAGTATGTCCTTGTCAACACTCTTGTTTTATTTGCATTAATCGTTGGTCGACCTTCGGGGTGTCTTTGTATAACGAGAAATCACATAAGGTTGACCTTCAGAGTGTGTTTGTACAAGCACAAGTCAACATGATCTCGGTGTGAGGCTGTTACAACACGGTGCTGCTGGACACTGCCAAGCCTAGTTACCCACTACGCAGCAGATGCTTGTGTGTGAGGGCTTGGAGGCTTTGTTTTAGTGGCGGGCAGGGCAGGGCAGGGCAGGTGGCGCTCATCAGGCAGGATGGGCCCAGGTAAACAAAGGCTGGACAAAACCCTTCAGGTCTTACCAAAATAGGCACCTCCTCCCCCCCCTCCACCCTGCTGGTGCGACACAGAAAAACTTCAAACTCTTACACAAAAAAAAAAATAAAATAAACTGGTTTCCCTCCAGCACTACCCAACCATCCACCTATCAATGCTCTCAGTCCTCCTGGTAAAAACTGCACTTAACTTCATGGTAAACACGTCTTGTGATATTGTGTCCAATAATTAAAACACAAGACAAAGGCTCAAACACTTCAACCTTATACTCTGTGTTGTCACCAATCGCTGTGTTTACTTTCAAGACGCAACACAACTGTATGAATTTACCATAACACAGTCGAGGAGTTGAGTTATATCTGCTGGGAGAGGCGGAGGAATCACCAGTGTGTGTGGGGGGGAGGGAAAAAAACGCGGGAGTTTACCCAAGCGCGTGTCTGTGAGCTTGACATTAAGTTCTTATCCTTTGTGTTATTACCACCAAATATCAGCCCCACCCGGACGAATTTCACCTCTTGATAAACAGATGAACCTGCCTTTTGCATTCTACGGTGACTTGACGTAATAAAATAAACCGTGTCTCAAAAAATATAGCCAGGGGGAACTACTTACAAGGTGGCTATTTTAGGACCGTGTTGGCTATGTAATATTTCCATGATAATATAGCCATTAGCACTTCCTGTTTATGTTGACTCTGACACACTCTTCATCTCTTCTGCAATTACACTTTTTTACCATCTTCTTGCATCCTTACCTCCTCCTCCTACACCCACAAACACCCACTCACTGCCTCCTCACTCCTCCCTACACCCTAAACACCCTCTGCCTCCTCCTCCTCCTGCACCCCTTACACCACTCTGCCTCCTCCTCCTCCCTACACCCCTTACACCCACTCTTGCCTCCTCCTCCTCCTACACCCCTGTAAGCACCCACTCACTGCCTCCCTCCTCCTCCTACACACACCCTCCTGCCTCCTCCACTCTCCCTACACCCCTCACTGCCTCTCTCCTCATTCTACACCCACATACACACCCTCCACTGCCTCCTCCTGCTCCCCACACACCTGCCCCACTCACCCATCTCCTACTCCTTAATTCCCTTCCCCTCTTGTTCTTTCTTCATCCCACATCCCTATTCCACCCCTCCTTCATTCCCTCCCTCCCTCCTTCTTCATCCCACATCCCCCTATTCCACACCCCTCCTTCATTCCCTCCTCCTCCCCTCCCCTCCAACTCCCCTCCATCACCTTCCTTAACCCAACAATCTTTCTCCCCTCCCAACCCCTCCTCCTCCTCCCAACCCCTCCTCCTCCCCTCCCCACCACCTCCCCCTCTCCCCCCCTCCCAACCCCTCCCCCTCTCCCCCCTCCCAACCTCCCCTCTCCCCCCCCCTCCCCTACCGACCCTTACCTCCTTTACCTGTTCTAAGGTGTGATAAAATGTTATTCTTCCTCTCTCTCTCTCTCTCTCTCTCTCTCTCTCTCTCTCATTTATCTCACGTTTTCCCTCTCATTTCTCTCCTCCCTCTCACTTCTAACCCATTTCTCGCACCTTTTAGCTCTCCGTTTTACCTCTCATCCATCTCTCTTGCCTCTCACCTCTCTATCTACCTCTCAAGTCCCACTCACTACTTTTCTCTCGCCTCTCACGTCCCACTCACTACCTCCCTCTCACCTTTCACCGAGTTAATCCATGAAGCGAGACGGAAGGTAAAATTTAGCAATGCTTTTATGCCTGACTGAAGGGGGAAAGGGTGCCAGGGGGTGCCAGGGGGGAAGACAAGTGCCAGGGAGTGCCAGGTGGAGAGAGAGACAAGTGCCAAAAGGGGTATCAGGGGAGAGAGACAAAATGCCAGGGAGTGCCAGGGGTATCAGGAGGAGAGACAAAATGCTCAGAGGGGGTATCAGGAGGAGACAAAATGTAGGGTGCCGGGGGTATCAGAGGAGAGACAAAGTCTCAGGAGTGCCAGGTGGAGGAGACAAGTACTAAGAGGGGTATCAGGGGAGGAGACCAAGTGCCAGAATTTATCAGGAGGGGCAGATGCCAGGGGTATCAGGAGACAGTGTATAAGAACATAGAAGCTTCTGTTGTAATCGATTCTTCCTCCTTACTGTCACACACACACACACACACACACACACACACACACACACACACACACACACACACACACACACACACACACACACACACACACACACACACACACACACATAAAGTTGCCGCCGTATACACAAAAAATACACAACAAAGGAAGAATACACCGTTATTTCCGGCTCGTGTTTCGGCACTGGACCGCAATACCTTTAATCGAGGCTCGGTGGGTCCTCTTCGACAACACAACCCGGAACTTGAACCGAATTTAGACCCGAAGTTTGATATGTAAACCCACGATTTGGTTAGGTTAGTTTAGCTTAGGTTAGGTTCGTGGTTAGGTTAGGTTAGGTTAGGTTAGGTTAGGTTAGGTTAGGTTAGGTTAGGTTAGGTTAAGGTATGTTTGGCTATGAATTGGCTAGGTTAAGTCAGGTCAGTTAGGTCAGGTCAGATTTATTTCCGGCTCCGTATCCGGTTTAAGTGAATCCTGCCTTGTGGACTTTCACCACACACACACACACACACACACACACACACACACACACACACACACACTTCAGCGAACGAATATTTTAGGTGATTACATGAATAAAATAACAACGGGGAATATTATCGCTAATTTCCATGTATAAATAAACCAACAGAACGACTGCTTACGAAAAGAAACGTTCGTGATAACTAATGAACGTTTTAATGTCCCCGATCTTACGAATCCACATATACAAAACATTAACAAACGTGCGAATCATTTTGAGATTTTACGAATATAAACGAATATAATGATAAATGTATAATTATCTTTACTTGTTTACGAATAGAACGAAAACAACAGCGAATGAACGAAATATTTGTGGCAACTTTCATGGATTTTAGGATAACGAAGACACAAAGAGATTTTTACGAATATCACGTCAACGAAACCTACGAAAGGACGAATCATTTTGTGTGTTCGTAAGTGTCAGAATAACGAATGGACGAAGGATTGTGAAAAGTGACGAAATTTTGTGGTTATTAGGTGTAATTATTTCACGGTTCATGCTTAGGGGGGGTGGGTGGGGGGGGTGTGTTATTATTGTCATGCATGGTGGATGGGAGGGGGTGAGGTGGGGATTGAGGAGGGAAGAGGAGAGGAGTGGGTGGGAGGTGGGGGATTGGAGGAAGAGGAGGTGGGTGGAGTGGGGATTGGGGGGAGGAAAGGAGGGAGGTGGAGAGGAGAGGAAGGGAGGATAGGAAGGAGAGGGTTGGGGGAGCTGGAGGAGGATTAAGGGAAGGAGGGCATGGGGGATTAATTAAGGGAGGTTGGGGGCTGAATTAAAGGGGGAGGACTAAGGGACGGAAGAAGGAAAAATTGGGGTGGCATGTGGGGAGGCAATTAGGAAGGGAGGGGAGGTTGGGGAGATTGAGGAAGCAGGATTACCTCAGTAACACTCCAAATATTTAGTAACACTCCTTATTCTCCAGTAAGTAACACCCCAAATGTCATAATATGTAAGTAACACACTAAATAAGTAGCACTACAAGCTACTTACTCAACTTAATTAAGTATTTTTGTGTGTTAATTTCAGCACCTAAATTTACTTATAATTAGAAGTGCGCTAATTACCACAGGAGATAAAAATAAGTGAATAAATATCTTTTTTTGGTCTTAATTATAACATCAAAACAAATTATGTTTATTTTAGAGCATATTTAATCACATAAGCGCATGTAAGTATACTAATTTCACGAGAACATTAATTACATGATTACACTAACAGTAAGACGCAATTAAATATCTAATTACATATATATATATAATCTTGTTAATTATGACGCTAATGGTATTATTAAACGATGTAATTAACTGTATGTACGTAAGTATGTACAAGTTTCGTTACGCCAATGTATGTATGTATGTATGTATGTATGTATGTATGTATGTATGTATGTATGTATGTATGTATGTATGTATGTATGTATGTACAAGTTTCATTACGCCTGGATGTTAATCAATTTGCTGACCGTGTGTGTTTGTATGTTTGTGTATGTGTGTGTGCGTGTGTGTTAATGTGTGTGTTTGTGTATGTGTGTTAGTGTGTGTGTGTCTACTTATTAAAACACCCAAACAGGTGTTCACAGGAAGTCATAATCAGTGTAGCTGTGTTTGTCTGTCTGTCGTAAGATAAATCGGACAGTAATGAAGACAAGATAGCGAGAGAAAGTTATTTATTCCCCTCAAGATATATTTAATTCTAAGTGAAATATATTTATGTCGTCCACTTATATATATATATTGTAAGTGAAATATATTGACGTAAAATACATAGGAACTGTATACGAAAAATAAAAAAAAATATACTTATCAATAAAATATACTTGTATAAAACACTTACCTTCTTCAGTACCTTCTACAGTAGTTGAGAACGACGTCTTCTTGAAGGTGGTCGATATTTTTCACCAGTTTATTTCAGTGTCAAGATATATTTCAATATTTGGTTTAACTTGATTTTTTTCCTCACTTATTAAAACCGTAATACGTCACTGGTTTAAGTCACGTTAATGATGTTTAGGTTTA